TAAAATGCTAACTAAAAGCTAGAAGTGGTAAAAGACAAGCTAAAAGTTGAAAATACCAAAACAAAAACATAAAAGTACAAAAATATATATTAGGTAGAAGTAGCAAATTGGTTGCTAAAAGCTGCAAAATGTTAGCTGAAATAAGGCTAACTCAAAGGTAAAATTCAATGAATGCTAACTAAAAGCAACAAAAAGCTAAATAGAAGCCAAATTCAAAAATAGACTGGAAAGAATTGAGCAAAAATAGCAACAGGCTTACAAGAAACTTATAGGAAAAGTTAGCTAAGCGCTAAAAATAGCAAAATGCTAATGAAGATACAGAACATACACAGTAAATTGTATTTATAAGAAGTGAGTGAGGGATTCATGACAGCCTGACATCCTGTGAACAGATCAGCTGAATTACTGTTCTGTTTTTACAGGCAAGTGAAATGAAACATTTTCTGGAAGCTGCTTTGAGTTATTTACTCAAGATGAAATATTAAATAAGGCTGCGATCGTTGAAAATTAACCTGTTAGGTGTATAAATCAGAAACTTCAAGGACTTTAATTTGTTTAAAAAGAACAGAGATGTTTCCATTTTAAGGTCAAGCGTGTGTCGTCTTTAATAACTCGTTTGTCTTGAAGCTCTCTGTCTTACTGACGTTTCTCTCTGGACTTTTTTACTCTTCTTTGAATTTGTTCGTAGTTTGGTAATTTTTAACTCTTTCCTTAAGGCCAGTCTTTCGTAACAGAGGGAATGTCCTTTTGTAGGTTACACAAATGTCAGCAATTACTGACAATGAAAGAGTCACACATTAGGCTTCAGGTTTTGCCACGTTTCCCCAATTAAAGTCACTTTTGGGACAGAAAAAGCTAAATTAAAGCATTAAAATGGTGTTACTGATGAAGGTGATTAAAAAAAAGACTCAGTTAAAATTCAAATGAGAATTTTCATGAAAGAGGAAAAGGAAGCAGATATAATTTCACACCAAAATGGTTAAAGTTTCCATCTGTCACTTCCTTTTGGGGGAAATGTGACCAAAGCATGAAGCTGTTTCAGATATTTCATGTTGTAATTCATGATTTTTAATCTCTTAACTCAAAAGGTTTTACAACATTTAACCATAAAGTTGAATTTCTGCAACTTTGAGGCTTTCTTTGTTTATTATTTGACACTCTATGTATCAAACCGTCCACTTGAAACACTGAGTTTAGACATTTGTGTTTTGTAAGGTTGGTTAGTTGTGGCCATCACGGATATTATAATAAACCACCTGTTTTAACATTAAAAAAACACTTTAGTTGTAAATTATGAATATATTGATCTTTGGATTAATCATTGTGGAGAAAAATCGAATTTAGTTTTATTTTTGACCTGATTAAGAAGCTAACAGCTAATCTGAGTGAGGCTAATCCCAAAGCTAACATCTGCCACAAAAAATAACAAAAAACTTCATAATCATGCAAACATTTAATAAACCTTAACACTGCCTTTGAGTTCACATAATACAGTTATTTTTACAGAAATGTCTTTTTTACCAGAAGGTCCTCTTTTTGTTCTAAATTACCACAGTTAGCTTTAGCAGTAAAGTTGTTTCTACTTGTAAATAACTATAAAACCTTGGTAAAATAACCATAAAAAGCTAATTTGATGGTAGTTTACAGGTTTATAAAATAACTTTTATACAAGTATCTATTTTTTGTTAGATCGGAGCAGTTTTAATCTGCTTTATTTCATCGCTAATAAACTAGCCGTTAGCTGTCGGATAAGAATAAAARRCAGTTTTTCCAAACTGAGGTTTTTACAAGAGATAAACGTTTTTATTGTTCATCTTTTCACAGAGCTGCCTCAAATAAACTGAACTATATTTTACTTTAAAAAGATRTTAGCCTTCAGAAACAAAAAGCTGGAGTTTTGATCAATAAACGCTGAAAATAAGTACCATTAAGTACAGATATTTGGCGTTTTGTATTTAACTAGAACAGAGACATTTTCATGGTGAAATAAGGCAGAATACTTTTTYTAAAGCGACTCTTTTACTGTGTATTTTTACACTTAATCCACCCAAACGAACACAACTCGTCACAGCTGCGGGTGGAAAGTTAATGCTTGCAAAATATGTACATTCTGAAAATGAAAAAGAGGAAGAGGAAGATGTTTTTTCTTCTTTGTTGGCTTAAAAAAAACAACAACTGTGGAGGGGGGGGGAGGGGAACTTTAAGGCAAAAAATAACCAAGAAACGATAGCTATGCCAGGAAAGTGAGACTGTTTTAATAATAAATTAGCGAGTTGACACCCAAAACTTTTTGCTTTGACTTTGAGAAAACAAAAGATGGTGTCAACCTGAAAAGATAAAAGTTTACATTATATAATATTTTAAAATAACAGGGCTCAAACTAACGTTTAATTAAATTTAACAGTAAAACTCATTATTTGGTGCAGTTCACTGAGCTGTGAACTGTTGGCATCCGTTGTAAGATCTGACTGCTGAAGTGTGACTTTGTTTTTCCCCCACACCCAACAGCTAAAATAAACTTGTTAAGCTTTAAAAAAAAGCTGAATTCAATACGTAAGCTCAGAAACCTTTGAAACCGTTTTGATCAATGTTTTTATTTTTGATTACAGGTCATTATTTATTCAGCGTGGCGCAGTAAAACGGTCCAATTACATGGATGTTTTATTTTGCATCTTTATGACAACTCGAGCCACTTAAAGAAGAAAAACCTTTATAAAGTGAAACGACACMATCAGAGCCCAGAAATATCTGCTATAAAACACCCGCCCTGCTAACTAACGGCTCTTATTTATAATAATCTCATGTGTTTGTTGCAGAACTTTGACGTCTGCGTCGGTTTCAGTGTTTTCCTCTGAAGAAGGCGCCTCGCAGTGACCTTTAGCTGTTGTTTAGCTGAAGTTCTGTCTGAGAGCGAAGCAGAGCTAAAAATAGTCAAAGCTGGAGGTGGACAGTTCAGATGGACACAGAAACTAAAAGTGTCTGCAGCAGGTGAACAGGTTCRGTTGGTTCTGCTGCCTCCCTGTGGGAACCGGACGGCAGCTGCACAGTTTGGAGAGTGTTCAGCGTTTTTATGGAGGTTATTTTGTCCGTTTTTTTTGTTTTTGTTTTTAGCTCGGGCTCCTGTCCTCAGCTCTCACTGTGATCTTGATTCTTCTGTCCTGATGGTCTGTAGAAATAAGGAGGAAAAAAGGTTCAGAAATAAAACGGGTGCTCCAGTTTGGCAACATTTAAATGTTATTTTTAACAGTTTTTTGCAAGTTTTTACCAGTTGAATTAAAATGAGCCAATCTTTGATTTTTGAAACAGTTTGGATAACTGTAAATGAAAATAAGGATCATTTCTACACATTTTTTTTGTCTCGTTCTGCAATTTTTGTGCCATTTCAAATAGGGGTGTAAGAAAATATCGATACACTGAAATATCGCGATATTTCATTTCCTGATACTGTATCGATATTCTAAAGCCCTGTATCGATTTTTTATTAAGGTTTAAAATGTCAACTTTCCTGCCAACCGTTCATTTTTATGTTGTAGTTCAGCCTCTGACCACTAGTTGGCAGCAGTGAGCCAGCCATGTGGCTCCTCTACCTCTTTAGCGCCAGAGAGTTAAGGGTAGCATTAGCATTGTAAGTAAACATTAGCTTTTCTTTTTTTTTCTTTATTTTTCAGTAAGAAGTTTTTATTTAATAGAATTTTTGGACAAAAAAATTGCAATATATCACAATATATCACCTTGTTTACAGTATCGCAATATATCGGGATATATCATATCGTGACCCCTCTGTCATGATATGTATCGTATCGTCAAATTCTTGCCAATACACAGCCCTAATTTCAACAATTTATATCAAAACATTCAAAATCCGCAAAACACTTTAAAATGATCATAAATCTTTAATTTTTACTTTTTACCTTTATTTCTGCTTTTGTGAACTCTAACTGCAGCTTTCTTTGGCTCCTATTTAGCTGATTTTAAATTTTTGAAGCTTTTTTTAGTTATAATTCTGATCCTTTCTTTTTATTCTGCTAATTTCAGTATTTTTCAGCTTCTTTCAGTTATTTTAAGCTTTTTACGCTACTTTCAGCTGCTTTCTGATCATTTCAAATGTTCTCTGTTTTAGTTACTTTTAAGCTACTTTTCATCTAAATTCACCTTTTTGTGATAATTTCAGCTTTTTACTGCTTAAATCGGCAAACATGCTCTTTCTGTTTCTTTGTGCCAACTCCAGCTAATTCAGCTGTTTTTAGGCTACTTTCAGCTTTTTTAGCTTTTCAGCTAAGATTTTGCAGCATAAAACATTTACACTGCAGTTTTGCAGGATATGAAAAATACTTTGGTTTACATTTTTATAATTAGCTCTTAGCTACTGTTTTGCCAAATGCGGTCTTAATCTACAGTGTTATTGATTTTAGCTTTTAGCCACATTTTTGTAAATTTTAGATTTTTGCTACAGATTATAGCTTTTGGATAATTTAACTTTTAGTTTTTGCTAACAGTAGCCTACAGTTTTGAAACTCAACTTTTTGCAACCGATTTCCTAATTTTAGCTTTTAGCAGCAGTTTTCAAAACCTTTCGATTTTTTGCCTCTGTTTCGCAAATTTTAATTTTTAGCAACAAGGTGATTAATTTTCCTTTTTTAAAACTGTTGCTTTGCTTCTTTTAGCTTGTTATTAAAGTCCTAGTTTTAGCTAAAGTTCTGGTAAACTGAGCCTTTATCTTTGTAAATAAGATTTATGGTTTTGCTAGTTTTAGCTTTTAGCAACAGGGTGGTTATAATTTAATATTTTTACTGTTACTTTGCTTCTTTTAGCTTGTTATTAAAGTCCTAGTTTTAGCTAAAGTTCTGGTAAACTGAGCCTTTATCTTTGTAAATAAGATTTATGGTTTTGCTAGTTTTAGCTTTTAGCAACAGGGTGGTTATAATTTAATATTTTTACTGTTACTTTGCTTCTTTTAGCTTGTTGGTAACGTTTAGATTTTAGCTAGTTTTTGTTGAAGTTTTGTTATATTTTAGCTTTTTGCTATGGTTTTGTGGATTTTAGTTTCTGTTCAGCTCGTGTATTTTAAAAGTACTCTTGGTGAAAACCTCGTAGTTTAGTTTAGCTTTGAGATTAAAACGCTTCACGTCCTCAGAACTCGAGGACTCTTCCAGGTCTCACTGTTTGTGTCCGAGTCTCTGTCCGTCTCCGTCTCGACGGACGCTCTCTTCCTCTTGCCGCTCTGGGCGCCATCTTGTCCCGTCCGGCTCTCGTCTTCTTGCTCGTCCAAGCTGCTCTCCATCTCGTTAGCGGAGGACGCCGTGGACACACACGGGCTGTCTACAGTCGCACACTTCTGCTGTGAGCGGAAATAAAAGAGACCGCTAACGTTTCTGTGTTTTCCTGGCGACGCTAATGTGAGTCGCTTACACCACTTCGGCTGTGTTAGCTTGCAAATTTACCTTTCCGTTTGCTGATATGGACTCTGGTTTTTGGAGAGACGAGTTCAGGGACTCCAGCCTCACAACAGCTACAGAATCAAAAGATCAACTAGTTTTCAAACTCTCAAAACACAAAAACATCAAGAAGTTTTCTTTTTATTTCGCACATGATGAAGCTACTTACCACCAAAAAGAAAGCATAATGTCTTTTGATGGTTTTAATTTATTGCAGTCAGTTTGCTACTTTTAGCTTCTAGCTAGCAGTGGTGGGCACAGTTCCCCTAAAGCACTAAAAGGAGAACTCATTTCCTGATTAGTGCTTTAACTATTTTTTAAATTCACTAGTGGATTAGCACTTGCAAAATTTAGAGGTCTTTAAATGTTATTGATCAACATTATTGTTCACAGTTGAGGGTGAAAGCTGTCACACATTTTGTTCATATGTGTGTCACAACTATAAGGTCACATATCAAACTCAAGGCCCGCGGGCCAAATGTAGCCTACAGGTGACTCCCATTTGGCCCTAAGGGTACTAAGTGACAATATACTGCACACAGTAAATATTGTCTTATGTTGACTCTGAATAATGTTTGAATAATGTTTCATGTGTCAAATGGATTATTTTAGTGCTTTAGAATTAACTTTTGCTAAATTTTCAGTGTTTTAGTGCTTTAGAATTAGGGGACCTAAATATTTGAGTTAGTGTTTTAGAATGTAGATGAATTGGTTAGTTCAACTGATATTTAGATTAGTGCTGCCTACCACTGCTAGCTAGCATTTACTGCTATCAGCTAGCCTTTGCTCTTTTAGCTTTTAGCTCTTGCTACACTTAGCTAGGTGTTTTTAATTTTAGTTRTACTTCTTTTAGCTTTAACAACTCAGTTTTAGTTTTTCTGGCAAATTCTGCAGTTTATTCAGAGTTCAGGCTGCATTTTTACAGAAAAGACCTAGTTTTTTCACTTTTGAACTTAGCATGTTACTTATTTCACACATTAGATTTTACTTTGTTGTTTTTTAGGTGTTTTGTTCTTTACCTGGCCGTAGCGACAGAGTCAGAACAGGAACCTTTTTGTCGTTGCTTTGGTCTGTTTTACCATCCTCTTCCTCATCCTGCTCTGTGACCTGCAGCAACAAACCCGTCATCGTGTCGTCACACAGTCCGTTTATCCTGTTCAGCTTTTAAAAAATAAAAAAGCAGCCCTGAGATTACCTCGTTGTCACTGCTTGGCTCTTGCTGTTTTTTGGCGGGCGTCGAAGCGGGGGGCAAGGGAAGGATGACCACTGAAGGCGGCGCCMGTGGGTTCACACCGTTGTTGGGACTCCTCTGCGCTCCTGCCTCGCCTGTCGGGACCACGGAGGCGTAATCTCTCGGGGATTGGTTGGATTTCGACTTCCCTCGGTCGGAAAGGTCCAGAGGCCCGTCGCAGGGCTCCCGCAGCGCTTCTCCAGGGACTTCCTCACTCTTGGGAGGTGGGCTTTCCTTCTTCTCTGGGGTCTTGGCGTCGCTCTCGGGGTAATCCGGCACCCTCCGGACCTTGAAGACCACCGTGGGCTCTTTAACGGGAGGCTGATGGGAGTTTGTTTTCCACGGGGAGACAAAACCGTGCCTCCTGGCGCTGGCCTGCGAGACAGGCGGCACCAGGTTGGGGAATCGTGGCAGGTGCAGTCTGGGAGAGGTCGGCGTCACCGGACCGGTCCCCGCAGGGACCATGTTGACCCAGCCGGGGGGCTCGGACAGGGTCCAGGGCAGGGACATGTGGCTGTTCTTGATGGGCTGAGGGTGGCAGGGGATAGGCGCGTGGACCACGTGTCGGCTCGGCTTCTCCTCCGCAGAGGAAGAGGAGGTCTTTCGAAGAGGTTGGACGGGAACGGAGGAGTGCGGCTCGAATCCTTCGACACTTTAGAGACACGAGAGGCAGGAAATGTCAAATCAGTAAAAACTGGTGGCCTTCAGTTTTTTATTACAAATGAAAGCTGATAAGATGAATCAAAAGACACCTTAAATCAGTGTTTTTAATTTATAGTGGTGGATGGATGAATGAATGGATGAATGAATGAATGMTCCAGAGTCCTCTGATGTGTCTTACCTCCTGTCTCCTGGACGGGAGACACTGTGTTCAGTCTTCCATGATGCTGAAGTTGGCTGAGGCTTGAACACTTCCTGTTTGGAGAAAAGATGAATGGATGGATAAACAGATGAACAGATGGATGAACAGATGAACAGATGAATGGATGAAAGGATGAATCAAAAGACTAAAACCCGAACCACTTCCTGGTCCAGAGTAAAAACTTACGAAGCTTCTGGTTCCTCTGGAGTGTCGGCTGCGTTCAGCTTCTGTTCAAACAAACAAGAATAAAAAGATGAAGCCTCACGTCTCCTCCGTCCTCTCTGCTCCTCTTCAGGCTCACCTTCACCTCTCAGCTCTGCCTCCGTTTTTATCAACACGTCGCCATCTGCTGGCAGGGGGGCCGTCCTGCTGGCGGCTGGACTGAGGAGGGCCACGACCCCGGGGGAGGGCGAGAGGTCGGGGGAGACGATGGGTTTGACGTCTGCGCCTCCGTTGTTGGAGGAGGCGTCACCGTGGAGTTTTCTACACAGAGAGAGTTCTGTCATTAAAGGCCTTTAAAACAGGAGACCATCATTTTATAATCTGTTCTCAGCATAAAATATAATCCCAGTTTTATTTTATAATCTGTTCTCACAATAAAATATAATCCCAGTTTTATTTTATAATCTGTTCTCACAATAAAATATAATCCCAGTTTTATTTTATAATCTGTTTTCAACATAAAATATAATCCCAGTTTTATTTTATAATCTGTTTTCAAAATAAAATATAATCCCAGTTTAATTTTATAATCTGTTTTCAACATAAAATATAATCCCAGTTTTATTTTATAATCTGTTTTCAAAGTAAAAAATAATCCCAGTTTCATTTTATAATCTGTTTTCAAAATAAAATATAATCCCAGTTTCATTTTATAATCTGTTTTCACAATAAAATATAATCCCAGATTAATTTTATAATTTGTTTTCACAATAAAATATAATAGTTAATTTTATAATCTGCCCTTTCAAAATAAAATATAATCCCAGTTTCATTTTATAATCTGTTTTCA